CAGAAAACGTACAAAATGTAAATTTCGAGTGATCACAAGATGGTTTCTTTTCTGACATGTAATTGTATATTATGGCCATTTTCACAAATTCTTTACGATAGTAAAATATCTTTCAACTAATGCAAGAGCCGGAAAACTTTTTTTAGAAAGGGCCAGATTGTAAAAATTTTACACTAGGTGGGCAAATTCACAAACATGAAGATATGAATGAGTGGTTTGCTCCTAAATAAGAAAAAAGTTTTTATTTATTTTTTATCATGAAGCGATACTTTTACAAAATATTATTCAAATTTTACTAACAACTTACCGAAAAAAAAAAAAAAAAGTAAAGAAAAGAAAAACCCGAGGGGGTAACCAAATAAATGATGTATATTTTCATATTGAAAACTTTATTATTAAATAAATTAAAATTGCCAATGCGGAGAATTTGCTTGATTTTCCTGAGATAATATTTCATCATACTGAAGTTCAGAATTATTACTTACTACTATTAAAATTGTTTGCCCAATGGTCATCTGTTAATAATGATCTGAATGGTGATTTTACATATTTCATTTCTGAAAATGTCTTTTCGTATTGGTACGTACTCCCAAATATGAATATCCACCCCCATGCATATGATTTTAATTGAGATTATTTATCTTCCGAAATATATTTATAAAATTGAGTTATATCCTTTTCTTTAAACATCATTTTCTAAATGAAAGCCTTCCAGTTGAAGGTCTCATGAAAGCTCCCTCAATTATGGAGTCAAATAGATTTGAAATATAAAAATATCTTTTCCACTTGCATCAAGATTCACAAAACGTTGTTGGAACCGTAATATAAATTCAGAAAATATATATTGCGTGAATATTTTGGGGAATAGAGATTTTGAATTTTTTAATGCTTGGATAATGGTCACATTTGTTTAATGTTATTAATTTTTGAGAAAATCACAAATTCTGGGGAAAATGATTTTATGATAGAATATATTTCACATAGAAGTACTGTTCTTTTGTATATTTTTAAATTGATTTCATTGAGATATCTTATAACGTCTGTGGCAAATGTTGATTTCATAGCCATTTGCTATTTAATAATAAGGTTACAGCTAATTATTCTCATTTAAAATATATCTATGAATTCTCTGAGTTCTAAAAATCTCAACAAAACTTTTCCATTGGTGAACCATCGAACACCTGAATGATTAGGAAAGTTAATTTAATTGTTCCACACATACTATTCATAGAAGCTAATTCTTCAGTCATCTCAAATTCAGCATTGATTCCCAATTAAACACAAGTAATTGGGCAGTATGCGTAATATCTGTCAACTCATCAAAAGCCAACAAAAATAATTTGAGATTTTTGCCTTGTCTTTTAATTGATTCTTGATGCGGTTCCCAATGACCTCAAGTCACCTAAGAGTTGTTCTCTCCAAAAGACTGACACATCAAAATATATCTATTTTTCTCAACACATTTCTTCGGCTGCCACAAGCAAATATGATTTAATCAATTTCTCATTGGCAAATGATTTTCCTTTTGTGGCTAATGAATGAGCTATTCACAAGTTGACTTTCCTTACTGGTTCATTAACATTTTTTACTTTTACGAATAAATTGCATTGTGATGACACACTCTGTTTTAAATTTTCCAATTTTAATGATCATTCATTACTCAGGTTTGAATGCCCTAACATGTGCTTAGTTTTGTTGGTAACAACAATGTATATTGCACTCTTTTTGCACAGCAATTATGTCACTGCATATTAAACATAAAACTGTCATTTAATTCTCTGAGAAAATAATTTGCACAGCATTTTGCTTTAAAACACAATATTTGAGGTCCACTTTTTTCATCTTATTTCATTCTGAGAGTGATGTGGTAATGGTAGATAATGAATAAAATTAAATTTAAAAAAAAATAAAATACTGAGATAACCATGAAAGACAATACCATGCACAATGCTATAACAAAATTATCAACATGCTTTTGCGGAGAACAATGCACGAATGTTTCATCGAGATATTTGTGTATGCTAGTTTCAGCGAGCTAAGCATAGTCCATAAACATAAGGATACTCCAACATGGGTAAAATTCACATACAAAATTTCATGGGTAGGACCATATTAGTGGATTTAAGGCAGAAAAGTAATGGCGGTGGCCTATGCAAGTTTTCATATGTATTCGCCTGTTGCCACAAGTATTCACCTGTAAGTGCTTTTAAAAACAATGACAAATGAAAGAGTATGACAGTAGCACAACACACATGGTCATTACTCACAGCTTTTCAACTCAATTGCATAATTTGATTTATTTTTCATGTAAAAAACAATATAATCCTGAGAATCAGATTAAAAACAAGCAGGAGGCGGGCAGATTTGGCCCTTGGGTCATAGATGATGACTCTTGAGCTAAAGCGAAGGATCTGCACACCAGATGTACAGATTTGCTTGGTAGTTGATGATTTTATTCCAGCAACCTTACTATTAGAGTTAGATAATGATATTATTCTGAAAACTTTTTTTTTTCTTTTAACAAGTTTTAATAAGTTTCAATGGGGTTGTAGGATATTTCTCTTTTGATCATGCATTCCCTGATTTGAATCGTTATTTGCTATTTCTAGATAACGAAAAAAGAATCTTTTGGCTAATCTTTGGAATATGATAACAGGTAGTTTGGCGACATTTTGGTAAGGCGATAAAGGTTACTAGCTAGGACTTTAGCAGTGTACATGGATAAAGTCAAGAGTGTGCACAATGCCATTTTTGTGCAATTCTGGGATATTTCTGGGAAAATAGGTCGACCGTGTACATGGATACAGTGTATGTGCAATTCTTAAAAATGCAGCAAGCAGTGGGCGATTCTGCCCTTTCTCCCAATTTCGCACCTAATCTTCGTCATGATTAAGCACTTTTGTTCCAGAAAAGTTCTAGCATAAGCATAATTCGGCTCGCAGATTGTTGGAAAAAAATGTTGAGTAAAAAAAAAAAAAAAAAAAACATGCCTTTACTACGTGAAAACAATATGGTGTGCAAAAAAAAAACTAGCAGATTGCTCTAGCAGGGTTGGTCGCCAAATTTTCGTCAAAATATCGCTAAGTTACTATAATCCGAAGATTAACCAATCTTTTATTTTCATTAGAAGGAAGTTTCATTAAAGTTTCACAACGACCATGTTGGTGCTGAGTTTGTGCAATTCTCATCGTCTAACTTCTTTTCCAAAGAAATACAAAATATTGTATACGTGGCAAAACAACAACAAAAAAAATTATAGGTTCTAAAAATAGTTAAGAATTTTTTTTAAGGTATCATATAATCCTTATTTGATAATTAAAATTCATACTTGAAATTGCTAAAGTATGTTTTCTTTCGACATACTGATAATGCATGAGAAAGTATTATGAACATCGTTAATCTAGCTAACTCAAAAAAAAAAAAAAAAAAAACAAGCGGCAAGTTGCATCTGATTCTCCCAGCAAAATGTACAGCAACTTTTTCCATCGATGATGATTGAAAATTTTAAACATGTTAAATATTTAAGAATGAAATAAACTATGAAAATTACTACTAGCTGAAGAAATAAACTATACGAACACGTGAAATGTAAATTCTGTGCATTTATGTAAAAGTCAAATTATCTGTTTCTTTTTAATGCTAAAATGCACCAATTTCCATTCCTTGCTGAGGTTGCAGGGATTTAGATTCTAAATAATAGTAATTGTCTCAAGCATTGTAACTGGATTTTCTTCTATTAATAAACAATCGTACCTGATGATGTAAAAGTGACCAGGGCTCCTATGAATGCAGAGAAAGTGAATATAGGAAATATCCCTGTGAATACTGTAAATTAGAATTGATCTCATTATTTGTATATTACTGGTTTATTAATATTAATAATAAAAAACACATACATATTAAATTTGTTAACATATTTCTACTGGCACACTGTATGCTAATACAGAATATTAATTCATAAATTTTCTTAAAGATACTTGCAACTGAAAATTAAAAATTTAAATACCTTTCTATTGAAGCCATACCATGCCTTTCTTTCCTCATGCATTTGGCTTGATATTAGAAAAATAGAGCAGTTATGAACAGCAACAGTGAAACATTTCCTAATTTTAAGACAAAAACCTCCAAATGCTTATTATTGTAGAAGATTACAGCCTACATTACGTGTTTTTCCTTTTTAAGAAAAAGTTTTCACAATTTCAGAGTACCATGTAAATTTTATTATTTAGGTGAAATTACACAGCTATTTCACTCAGCCATTCTATTGTGATTCATTTGAAGCAGTTTTATTGGCAAAACTGATCAGACATTAACTCTTGTTACGAAAATGAATGAGTTGTATTGCAGAAGAGAAAGGAAAGTGTCAAGTAAATTCTACACTTGCGTTCATATAGCTTTTCATTCCCAGCATCAGCAAAGGCTTACGAAATTAAATTATGACTCAAAGCCATTTAGGCCTCGAGTCATAATTTGATTTCGTAAGATGATTATTTCAACATTTTCTTCGTGAACACATGCCTTTCCAGAAGAAACAGATGTGAATGGATTTTGCCGATTCCTGGTGTTCAAGAAATATGCAGAACAAACAAAAAAGCATGAACTGCTATAAAAACTATCAGAAGTTAATATCTTTACTACTAAAAGATTTTTCTCCCAAATTATTTATACAACTTCCTGCTTCTCAACAAAAATAAAAATTATATATTGTAGCAATTATTAACAAACAAAATGTGTTTCATGTATATTTCAATATGCATTACATTCAAAACATAACAATCATAAATTGATTATGTTTATGCTGAACATTAAAACCATAACTGATTTTTAAGTGTGGAAGACAATCATCTGAGTTAATAACAAAATATGATTTACTCTATGTGTTATCAACTGAAACTAGAGCATGAAATTCAATTACTTTAGTTTAATATTTCATACAATATTTTTATAGGTAATATGTCCAGCTCATATATTTAAAAAAAAAAATCAATACACACATATACAGAGAGTAATGCCTTTAGTTGAAGCAAACTGATATAATATGCAAATATTTTATTTAAATTAATAAATAAAAGACAAGGCAATATAACATCACCAATAACACATATGTCAGTTATGGAGGAATTGAAATATGAGGATTTTCATTCGTATGAATGCGCATATGCCTATTTAAATGCGCTTTTGATACATACAGATTGCTGCATATACTGCATGGATATGGTGTCTTGCCAGCATGAATAAGCATGTGAATCTTTAGGTTATGCTGTTTTGAAAATGACTGATCACATATTTCACATTTATATGGATCCTCTCCGGTATGAATGCACATGTGCTTCTGCATTACACAGCTTTTTTCAAAGGATTTGCCACAAATGTTACATACATGAGGCTTTAGAATGGGATGGGTATATTTATGCATTCTTAATAGATCTTTTGATGGAAACGATTTGCTGCATACATCACATACATATGATATATCATTAAAGTGCCTATGCAAGTGAAACTTCAAAGATGAGGGGTTTGCAAATGACACGCTGCACACGCCACATACATAAGGCTTCTCACCTGTATGGGTATGCAAGTGAAACTTCAAAGATGAGGGGTTTGCAAATGACATGCTGCACACGCCACATACATAAGGCTTCTCACCTGTATGGGTATACATATGAATTTTAAGTTTAGATCTGCGCACAAATGACTTGTCACATAAATTACACGTATGAGGCTTCTTATCATTGTGAGTATACATGTGGTAAGTTAAGCTATTTTTGCGAACAAACGACTTGTTGCATATATTACATACATGTGGTTTCTTGCCTGTATGCCTGCTCACATGATCATTTAAAACATACCTATCAGCAAACGATTTACCACATATCTCACAAACATAGGGTCTTTCTCCCGTATGGGTATACATATGTATTTTAAGATCAAAACTGCGCCCATATGACTTGCCACATGAATTGCACATATGAGGCTTCTTGTCTCTGTGAGTATACATGTGATAAGTTAAGCTAGTTTTGCGCACAAATGACTTGTTGCATATATCACATACATATGGTTTCTCACCTGTATGACTTCTCATATGATCGTTTAAAATACTCTTTCCTACAAATGACTTACTACATATGTCACAAACAAAGGCTTTTTCACCTGTATGCCCACGCATATGTAGTTTTATTTTATACTTATGTGTAAATGATTTTTTGCACAAGTGACATTCATGAGGTTTGTCACCGCTATGAACAAAAGTATGGTCTTTTAAGGCTGATTTCTTTGCAAATGCTTTATTACACACATCACACACATAAGGCTTGTTACCTGTATGGATATACTTATGTGCTTCTAATGCACACTTATGAGAAAACGCTTTATGACATATATCACACGAGTGAGGTTTCTCACCCGTATGGGTACGCATATGCGTTTTAAAATTACCTCTTGAAGTAAAGGTGTAACCACATACGGAACACACATACGATGCGACATTCATTTCGACAATCGCGGTTTACTTCAATAACCAGAAAAACGCAAAACCGAATTTTGCAAAGTAATAATCTTTGTTAGCATCGTTAGAGACTCATACAATACATCTTTCAGCCTATTGAAGCAAACAAAAATAGGAGAGTAATCGAAAGCGCAGGTCCCTTATCTTGGGGTGATCCTCAGTAAATCTCTACATGGAACCCACCGTTACACATATTCTCAGGAAGTTTCGAGCTAGTAAAGCTTCACTCTTCCCCTATTGCCGAAACAGTGTTCTATCTATTGATAATAGTTGCTCATTTACAAAACCATGTTGCGTCCAATTTAGTTATGCATGCCCCGTCTGGCATACTCGTGCAAAAGTTTGAGAGCAGTTACAAGCTGCCCAAAACGGGGTATTGCGTATAATATGCAATGCCCCCTGGTACATTCGGAAATAGCCTAATTCGTAAAGAGTTAAGAATAGAGGATCTTTGTGATTTTTTATTGCCGCCTATCTAGGGAATTTTATGATAAACAGGAACTTCTGGACAATCCTGTAGTTGTTAACTATTGTTATGATACTAGGGACCCCAATTTCAGGTAAACGCCCAAGGGCGATCCTAAATGTTAGTATGTAAGTAATTTTGTATTTGTGTTATGCAAATTGTTGCTCAGATTTTATTGTATATTGTTCTTTTTTCCTCCTGATTGCTTTTTGTTTTTACTAGTGGCACTAAGGCGTCGCACTTCGTATTTGTTTCTCTTGTGGTACATGTATTCTTCTGTGAAATAGTTGTTAAAAAAAATAGTTAATTATGTATGGATTAGTAATTAGGTACTTAAGAAAAAAAAATATGTATTTAACTATTAGCAATTATGAATTTAAACTCTTGCTCATTTAATATTTAGCACATTCAGTATATTTCTCATAATTCGAAACTTTTATCATGTTATTCGATGAGGGGTAGGGCTATGGCGCCCAGGCACCCTGGTGGTTAAGCACCGCAGTTCAACAATCTTCAATCTTCTTCTTCTATTTTTGTTGTTTCCCTCATGAAATATTTTCTACAGTACCTAAATTAAAAATTAGTGATGGATCTCTGTAGCAATTAAGTTTTTTATAATTTATCATTCCAGACGACATCGTAAAATTCATCAATCTCTTTCTCAATAATAGACTGTCTATTTCTCATGTTGCTGTGGTTATCCGCGATTCCAGCGCTCTGATACGCCATGTAGTGGCTAAAAGGTGGAGACATTAAAGCTCGGTATTTACGTTTGATAATGCTACCTAGTTTGTGAAAGCGTGTTGTGATCGAAAGTAATTAAACGTTTATTTTTATTGTGGGGATAGGCAAACTTAAAGAAGTACAGACGCATGTGCTATAGTTTTGTACTGTATGGTCATTTCTAATAATTGTCGTTGTTTCAGCTTATTGGAACCGTATTTATGTACACTGCTCAAAAAAAAAAAAAAAAAAAAAAAAAAAAAAAAAAAAAAA